AGAAGGAGAAAGAAGAAGGAAGAAGAAGAAGGAAGAAGGAAGAAGGAAGAAGAAGAGGAAGAAGGAAGAAGAAGAAGAAGAAGAAAGAAGAAGGAAGAAGGAAGAAGGAAGAAGAAAGAAGAGGAGGAAGGAAGGAGAAGGAAGGAGAAGGAGAAGAAGAAGAAGTTGAAGTTGTTACTGTTACTGTTAATGGTAGAAAGGATAGCAAACTACGAGGCTGGGTCAATAAAAACAAATTTGAGGAGGGGGCTAGAAAATAGAATCAAGGCTAGTTTTTTATTATTTGCAATAGTCCATGTGCCTATTATTCTTTCATGCACAATCTTAAAGAACATTAGAACATCACCTATTTGCCACTTGAGTATATGTTAATCCTGGGATTAGACCAGAAAGACACTGATTAATTGATTCAATTGGTGTTTATTGATTTCAAACTCTGTGCTAGATAGACACTTGTCATAAAGAGAACTCTGAGTCTGACAGTGGTCCTATCATTCATCTAAAACCTAGATGATAGTGACTGAGTATTTCTATAACTTAAATTGACCAAGTAGTCTAATGATATGCCAGAAACTGTTGTACAGTTTTGTGTAATCCCTTGGAAAGCTTGTGTGAGTGTACTCAGATTTCCTTTAGAGATTCACAAAATGATGTATTTTTCTTTTTCCTCAGGGCTTATCAACATACCTGCAGTGGCCCTTGGAATATTCTCTGGGGGGATAGTTATGAAAAAATTCAGAATCAGCGTGTGTGGAGCCGCAAAACTCTACTTGGGATCATCTGTCCTTGGGTACCTCCTATTCCTTTCCCTGTTCGCTTTGGGCTGTGAAAACTCTGATGTGGCAGGACTAACCGTCTCCTACCAAGGGTATGTTCACTTACTGAGTTAATCTGAGGAGATGGGCTTGTTCAATCAAGTTAATTATCGACAGAGTTCCAAAATAAGATAGTTTAATTTTTAAGTATCATAAATATGAAAAGAAATTATTGTTTTATTGTGGAATAGTGGAAAATGCTCATGACACAGAAGCTGTTATTGTCACCAAAATCTTTCCTGTCTTTGAATCTGAATGTGTTAGAGAAATATAAAAAAAATCCACATCTTACTTTAGGGAAGCAACATGACAGTGGAAAATACAGACCTTAAAAATTGCCTTTGCCCATTTTTAGTGAAGTGACATTGTATGCGTTATTTAGCCTCAATTTTCCCATTTGAAAAATAGAAATAATAACTGCCTTTTAAGGTTTTGTAAGGCAAAAGCAAGGTAACACGCATGAAAGTGATTAGAACTTACCTGGCACAAAACAGATGAGCCCTACATGGAAACAATTCTATATTTTTTTCTTTGATCACCTGGGTGACCAGAATGGTCTCTGTGCCACCCTTTATAGTCTCTCCTATTCAAATCAAGTGAAGTTTCAGAAGAGAATGGATATCCCAAAATCCAGTGACCCACATGCCAACTCTCCTTAGCTCTCTGAGGTTCTCTGAAAGAATATTTACTGATGCTTTCAGACCTAAGCCATCCTGAATGGGATGGGCGATTAGATTATTTAGTTTCCAGAGTCTAAAGGCTGGATCTTGAAGAAACTACTTTCCCTTTCCTTTTAAGAGTCCTTGCTATCACTCTACCTCCAAGCATGTGTTCCCAGAGGCAGCTGTCTTCATTCTTCCACCTAGCTATATACTATTTTTTTAAAAAAAATTATTGAGCTGCTGTGGTTTCCAGGCCAAACTCCCTGTTGTATCTGCCTGACTGCCTGTGGCCAACACTCCAGACACCATATTCTGTTTCCTGATGGTTCAGCTGCCTCTTGCTTACTGCTCGTTCTCCAGCTCCCTTCCTGTGCTTCCTTCCACACGTATCTACTGGTCTTGTGTCCATGTTCCAATCTCCATCACTTTAACCTGGTTTCTCCTGCTTTAAGTGAACATCAGTTATACACTTTGCCATCTAAAATGTCCAGGAAAATTAGTGAATGCAAAGTTCATATACCGTTACTTCTAGGAGTTATCAAAGTGATGTTAGACTCAACTGAGTGTAGTGTTGCCTTGGCAACAGTCAGCAATGCAGATTAAGAATGTCAGTCGTAAACAGAAACTGCAAGAAGATTCTGGAGAGAGTAGAAGCCCTGGGCCATTTTTCACTGTCTCTATGATCCTCACGGTGGATGGACAGTGGTAAAGTGTTTTATATTTTGCAATTTAGAAAATACCTTAGCTTTTATTATCTCACTTCTAGCTTCAGATACCTTTTTTTGAGATAAGTTTTATTATCCTCGTTTAAAGGGAACTGGGCTTAGAAAGGTCAGTTTGTTTCCTCAAAGTATAATATTCTTTCTAAAACATTATGCTGTCTCAAAGCCAGAAGCAAACACATAAATGGACAGCAAAATTTTGAGGTTTACATTAAAACTAAACTCACATGATAAAAGATCAAATATTTTTAAACAAATAAAAATAATATACTCACTGGGTGAGTACTAGCCCTTGAAAGCAGTCACTTTGTAAGACTATAACTACGCTGCAATAATGCTATCATTGTTTAAAGCTCCTCTTTTGAAATTGCTTTCCATATTCTCAACAATGGCAAAGATTTAACCTTTAAGGGCAGCTTTGTTATTGGAAGCAGCCAAAGAAATGACAACATCACAGGGAAAATCTCTCCCCTCCCAGCATGACTATTTTGAAAGAAAAATCTTATTTGAGTATTAAGCATTCTGGCATATTTGATAAAACTCATCTTACAATTAAAATTTTAAATAATGACTATACTGTCAAAACATCCTTCATAAAACATGTATGCAATTAATTTCTGCTTCAAAATTGCTCTAAGTGATCATTTTAACTTATCCTAAGTAATAAAAAAATAATTGGCTTTATACAATACAACATGCTCTCCAGGGGTTATCCAGAGTTTCTCTGTTCCACAAAGCTGTTTTGGTTCTGGACATTCACCAGGAACACTATAGGCAAGTTTTAGATATGGTAACAGAAGAAATCTTTCTTCTGTAATGATGAGAGTAAGTCTGATGCAAGATAAGAATTTAGAATCCAGAGGCCTGGAAGGTTCTAATTATGGGTTTGTCACTCACAAACACTGTGAATTTGAACAAATTGTCTGCCTACCTTGGACCTGACTTTCCTGATCTGCCAATGAGAAGCTGCATAGGTTCTTTCAGCTCTAACTTTCTATGCTCAGCCCTATGGTATCTGTAATGGCCTGATTCTAGGCTTGCAGAGACCCGTATTTATACTTTCAGATACTGCAAAATCGTGTCAGTTAAAAATTGATGCCTTAGGGAAACCTCCTTCACTGCTGGTGGGAATGTGAATTGGTGCAGCCACTATGGAGAACAATATGGAAGTTCCTCAAAGAACTAAGAATAGAGTTACCCTATGATCCAGCAATCCCATTCCTGGGCATATATCTAGAGGAAATTCTAATTTGAAAAGATACATGCACCCCAATGCTCATAACAGCACTATTTATAATAGCTAAGACATTGAAGTAACCTAAATGTCCACCAATAGATGACTGGATAAAGAAGATGTGGTGTATACATACAATGGACTCAGCCATAAACAAGAATGAAATAATGCTATTTGCAGCAACATAGATGTACTTAGAGGTTATCATATTAAATAAAGTAAGTTAGACAGAGAAAGACAAATATCATATGATATCACTGTATGTGGAATCTAAAAAAACAGATACAAATAAACTTATTTACAAACCAGAAACAGACTCAGACATAGAAAACAAACTATGGTTATCAAAGGGGGAATGTGAGGGGGAAGGGATACATTAGGAGTTCTGGATTAACATATATGCACTACTATATTTTAAATAGATAAACAATAAGAACCACAAGGAACTATATTCAATATGTTATAATAACCTACTATGGAACATAATCTGAAAAAGAATATACAAATATATAACTGAATAACTTTGTTGTATGCCTGAAACTAACACAACATTGTAAATCAACTATACTTCAATTTTAAAAAGAAGAAAAATTAGGGAAGAGAAAAGGATGATGTATTCCTAGATGACTTCTCAGTAGATGTTAGTAAAAGCCATTAGCCAAGAACTGGATATGATGTGAAGCTGTAAACCTCTAAAGATAACTTTCAAGGGAAAGCTGTTTACTAGTGGATTCACATTTAATGATCAGAAGCTGACATTTCTGATGACAATTGTCTCCCAAAAGCAAACTTCGTTGGCAGTGCCATTTGTATCACTCAAGAATATTGATTTTTGAAAATATTAGGGTGCTGCCTACTAAGAGGTAATATTTTATACCATTACATTTCTTTTCAGAACCAAACCTGTCTCTTATCATGAACGAGCTCTCTTTTCAGATTGCAACTCAAGATGCAAATGTTCAGAGACAAAATGGGAACCCATGTGTGGTGAAAATGGAATCACGTATGCATCGGCTTGTCTTGCTGGTTGTCAAACCTCCACCGGGAGTGGAAAGACTACTGTAAGAAATCTTTTCTAAACTGTGTGCCCATGGCCCTGTGACAATGCGTAACTATACAACCCTATGGGGGCCCAGGGACCAACCCAGGAGCAGACAACACTGGTAGAGTCCCTGACTCTTACTCTGCCCCTTGTTCTTTCGTGTGGAGACAGGGAATAGAAGCCTCACTAGTAGAACTAGAACTGTTGGAAAAATTAGGGTAAGAATTAGAATAATCAAACAGGTTGGAGGAACTCTGCAATTATGAAATCTGGGTCTCTCATTTTGCTTATAAGGAGTATTACCCTAAAATGTGAAAGTCTCAGTTATAAGATCATATAAAGACATTTGCATTGGCATCCATCTCTCCTGAACCCATGACCGGTGGTCCTTGGAGGTTTTAGGGAGAGGAAAAATAGAGGCCAGTGTTAGGAAGTCTAGCCCAAAAGGTTTAGACCTAGGGGTCAAGAAGCCAATTGTGAGGAGGTTAATGGTTCTGGGACAGCTCTGCCAGAGCTATCAAGCCAATTCATGTCAGGGTGAAAAGAGTAGGTGGCTAGAATGAAGGGTTCCTGTAAGGTGTAAGAGGAAGAAGAGGTTGGAAATAGGTAGGAAACCAACTGTGAAGGATATTATGTTCTCGAATCATTAGCAGACTCATACTCCGAATCACACCTTTAGATCCTTGTCCCAAACATAGACTCTTCCTTATGCTCGCTGTGTATACGGTACAGTGGTCAGATGGCTTTCTACTCCTGGCTGATGAAATGTGCCAGTAACTGACAGCCCTTAAGGGCTGAAAATGAAACCACACATCTATTTACATATTCTTATCAACTAGATAAGAATGCTTAGGCAAACACTTCTGTAGACACAGATTCATGCTTGTTAAATTTTTCTCTGTTTGTTATTATTTTATTCAGAGGAGAAAGGATTGGTCTCTAGCAACAATGCATACAACCACCCACCCATCTGAAATCTGAGTTTTTGCCCTTCCTCCCTCTTCTTCCTTTTCCCCTTTCCTTTCCCTCCTCCCCAACTTTGGCCACTACTCTTTGGCCCAAACTGCTTGAAGGTTTTCCTTAAGCAGAGTTTTCATTTACTGAAAACACTCCATTCCAGGGACTGATTGAGGTGCTTTAAAAACAAAATTGCACCTAAACATCATGATCCTCGAGTGACTGCATATTATTTTACTTAGTTGCCTCACATGAGAACTGAAGCACTGAGATACAAGGGACCTGCCTTAACTGCCATATCTAGTGGGGCCAAGTAAGGATTCAAAGCTGTTTAGCTGACAGTTAAAAAATATACATACACACAAACCTGTATTGCTTCTCTTCCTTGAAAAAGAAGTGCCATTTTTACTTCATTTTTTTATCAAAAAATTTACAAGTTCTTCTGTAATAAAAATGACAACTCATCATATATATACACATTCATACATGAAATTTACAGAAAGAAACTGATGAGTGCTTATGAAAGTTGCCTCTCCATGATTTAGTTGAGTTTTATTACTCAGATTTTTTTCCCTCTCATGACCACTATAAATTCTGTCATATCTTCAAATTGTGCACATTTAATACATTTTTATTGAGCGCCTAAAGTGAGGGCCTCTTGATAGGCTTAGATGGACCTTGATGACAAAGCAGAGTTTCTGCCAGAGGTTACATTTTAGTGGCGATATGCAGTTTAAAATGAAATGATTATATAATCTGAGAAGAAGGAATAAGCACTGCGAGGAAAATGTAAGTTAGAAGAAAAGTGTGGAGAGATGGAAGTGTCCTATTATTTTTAGTGGAAGTATCATATTGTTTTTTGCTTTTTTTTGGCAGGAGGAGGTAATTAGGTTTGTTTGTTTGTTTGATTGTTTGTTTGTTTATTAACAGAGGTACTGGGGATTGAACCCAGGACCTGGTGCATGCTAAGCATGAGCTCTACCACTGAGCTGTATTCCCTCCCCTCTGAGGTTTTATTTTGAGTGGGTGGTCAGAGGCTCCCTTTAATGAAATATCTGAGCAGAGACCTGAAGTGTGTGTTCTAGCCATGGAACTCTCCAGAACTGCCCAGCAGAGGAAACAGAAAGGCCATGAGGCCTGGGTAAACTCACCATGGCAGTGGGAACTCACCGTGGCAGTGGGAACCCATGTGTGTAGCTGAAGTAGAGGGAGAGGGGGAAGACCACTGAGTGATGAGATGAGAGCGGGATTCAGGAGCTGCCTCATGGATGGTGTGTAAGCCGTTAAAAGGATGTAGGATTTTAGACACGTACAATGAGAAGCCATTGGAAGGTTGAGAATGGTGATGCAACATGACTGCCATTTTTAAAGGCTCACTTTGGCTACTGTGGGAAACAGACTATAGCTGGGTTAGAATAGAAAGATGTTTTTGCAATAATCAAGGCAAGAAAAAAACGGCGGCTTAGACTTAGAAGTAGTAGAGAAGATAAGGTGCTGTTAGATTTGGTGGGATTTGCTCCGAGATTGTTCTGTAGGATCAATAGTTTGTAAACCATCTGCTCTTTGGATATGGAAATGTTATCTCCAGATTCCATTTCGCTTGATAAACTCTTAACACAGAAAAATAAAAGCATATCTCCCCATTTTTATATAATAAATGTATATTATACTGTAAAAGTCTTTAAAAATAAGTATTTCTCTTTAATTTTATTTAAAAGTTACCTCAATAATTGGATTTTTCCCTGCTGCATTTCAGATATTTCACAACTGCACCTGTGTGGGAATTGCAGCCTCAAAATCAGGAAATTCTTCAGGCATGGTGGGAAGATGTCAAAAAGATAATGGATGTCCCAAAATGTTTCTATATTTCCTTATCATTTCAGTCATCACGTCCTATACTTTGTCTCTAGGCGGCATACCTGGATATATATTGCTTCTGAGGTGAACATGGATTCTCCCTGCCCCAATTTTAATATAAGACATACTGTAATCATTCAGAGCAATGACTTCAAATTCTATTCTGTGGAATCATTATCATTTTTATACAAAAATGTGGTTGAACAGAAGTTTCTCGATCGTAATATAATTTACACTTGAACACTTTTTACTGACTCTCTTATAGATCTCTACAAAAAATCTATATAAACTCAAATTTTAATATTAGCTTTGTAATAAGTATTCTCAGTGATGAATTTTTCCTCCTAATTGATTAGTGTTGCAAATATTCCTCTTATACAACTGTTGAAAATAACCTAAAAATATGACAAATTTGGATAAATTAAGCATGAAAAATCAAATTTTGTTGGAAACCAATCTTTTATGAGATGAATTAGGTGATTTTTAAATTAATTCATATATCAAAGGATGAATATTAAGTTTTTCTAGAATGAAACTAATATTCAATATGAATAATATGAAATAAATATTGCAAATATCTTTAATTTCCCACAGTTTACATGATAGAAATTGATCAGGAAAGCTCAGCAGAAAATAGGACCTAACATCCACAAATCTGTTTTTTAATAAAAGCGTTTAAGGAGAACATGTGATACTGGTGTTCTCAAATGGGAGCATGGGTTTGTGGAAAAGAACTGCCCCAGAGTCCGCAGACCAGACCAGGATTCTTCTTGGTTACCTATTTATTCAACATTGTTTTATATTGTGCCAAGTAGTTACCTGGGCCAAGTGAATAATCAGCTACGAGATCAACCAGGCTACCAGAAGAATTTCCCTCTCCACCAGTCCCTCAAATGAACCATGCTTTATTTTGATGTCAGAAGGAAATGTCCTTTGTTTGAAGGAGAAAACTGTAATTTTTGACTCTTTCAAAGCAGAGACTAAATGAGGAACTTATTACCACGGTTAAGACTCAACAGTTATTATCCTCATGATTATTACAATTAAAATCTACAGGCTAACCCACCAGTTAAAGCTACATAGTCATATTAAGAATGCTCTTGTTATTTTAGGTATCCTTGTACTTGGCTGGTAAATTCAGGTCCCCACTACTGAGCAAAAACACTTAGCATGCCACAGTGATTCTGACTGTATCAACTCAGATCAATATGGTCTTGAGCTTTTTCAGACTAAAACCCGCCTATTTTATAGGTTATTAATCTTTTATTGTACCTCAAATTCTTACAACATCTTAGAATTTGTTTTCTTGTCAATCTTAGTTATTTCACTGATTAAACGTGATTTTACTTTACTCAACACCATTTGAATATGTCTAGTAAGGGTGGTTTATCTTTTAGAAATATTAACTATAAAAATCCTTGATGAATTGAATACAGTGGACCATGGCTTTTACATAATTTGCCTCCCTTGTGCTGAAACTGTAGTGGATCCTCCATCAATGCTACTTGAATTCTAACATCATTTCATGTGTGTTCAGTATATTATTACTGATATTACTATTTGCTTTAATGAACTAAATTTTTTGTAATAGTGCTTTTGTTGTTTATAGGTGCATTAAGCCACAACTTAAGTCTTTTGCCCTGGGTATCTACACATTAGCAGTAAGAGTTCTTGGTAAGTATACTCTGTCCTTGAATTACAGTAGCCATCACAAGTGTATTTTGAATACTTTTCTAAATATTTTTACAGAATTATTACACATAACTCAATGATATAGGCAGTTAGGATCCTGTTTTTTTATATTTTCTTCCTTCATTTCTTCCTTCCTTCCCTCATTCCTTTACTTCTCTCTTCCCTCTTTCCAGAAAATTTGAGGACCAATGCTATACCCATGATAAAGTGATTTTATGAGAATGACATTGCTTATTTAACAGTCTTGTCTCGTCCAGCACTGGTAAAGTGTCCAAAAATCCAAAGCTGTTATGAAAAAGCCCTTTGAGAGGAAAGCAAAAAATGAATCATTAAGAAAAGCTGAAGTCTAAATATATTTTTTTCAGTTATTCAGTGGAAGGAATTCTTTTGAGCTACTCTCAGTGCTACGATATGTCATTTGGTAGAAAGATAAGACTCAAACAATCAAAACAGTGTAGATTTGAGGCCATGATTTTTCAAACGTAATTGGAATTTTTTTTTCTGACTACCATACATTTCAATATTCATTTGTTACAACACACAGAAAACAGAGTGAGTAAGTCAGATAAACTTTATTGCAGAGTTTATATTCTAAAGATGAAAGTGAAACAATCATAAATATTCCACTGTAGTTTGACAAAGAGTGATTACCTGGGAGAAAAACAAATCCAGAGCTTTAAATAAATGTGGCTTAGATAGACCTTGCTATAAAATGGATATAAGTGAAGACATAACATAATCCTGATAAAACCGGGAAAAAACAAAAATGGAGATTTATGCCATCATGGCTAGCTCTAATTCAACAACATGAAATCAGAGATTATGTAGAAAAATGTCAGACTATTGAGCTTAAAGTACATCCCTGGCTGGAATTAGTCTACAGCTTTGGGAAACATAGATATAACCTGGAGTGTGAAAAAAGATCTCAAGTAAAATAAATATTCATGAAGTTGATTCCATAAAAATAAAAATGTACTTGAAAATTACAAAAATACTACAAGGCAAATGAAAAACTGGGAACAATTGTTTTTCAATCTGTATAACAGACAAGGGGCTAATACCCTTATTATAAAGCTCCTAAATGCTGCGAACAAAAAGACCAACACCAAAGGGAAAAGGGGGTAAAAAATAAAAGCAATCATTTCATGGAAAAATAAATGTAAATACCTCTTAATATATAAAAAGATGGTTAAGGCCGTTCATAATAAGAAGAGTATGATTAAAACTATTACTAAGATACCGATTCTTACTTAACAGATTGGCAAATTGCCAAATGTTGTTCATCATGTATTATAGTACAAATAGAAAATAAAGTTATACATTGCTGTTGTGAAAATTATACTATTTATGGAGGGGGTATTTGGCAAAAATTAATAAAATTTACATATAGATTTTCTTTTGACCTAGCAATCCCTCTTCTATGAAGTGGTCCCAAAAATTTGCTGGCAAAAGGATGAAGTATGTCTAATCTTAGGGACGTCCAATCACTGTGGCATTATTTATAATAGCAAAAGACTGCAGGCAGTCTAAATGCCCACCAGTATGAGATGGGTTACATGAACTATAGAAAACCCACATAATGGAATACTATGCAGCTGTGAGTACAAATGAGGAAATCTCTCTCTCTAATGTTACCAAGTTTACTTGTCAGTACTTGGTGCCATAACAGAACACCCTGGACTGAGGGGCTTAAAAACAGAAATCTAGTTTCTCATAGTTCTGAACAGTGTGAAATTCAGATCACAATGCCAGTAGGGTTGGTGTCTAGGGAGACCTCTCTGCCTGATTTGTAGATGGCCACCTTCTCACTGTGCCTTCATATGACCTTTCCTCCGTGCGCGTGTGGAGAGTGAGAGAGATCTTTGGTGTCTCTTTCTCTTCTTATGAGGACACCAGTCCTATCAGTTTAGGGTCCCACCCTTATGACCTCATTTAACCGTAATTATCTCCTTAATTAATTTGTTGCTACATGCAGTCACATTGGGGGTTAGGGCTTCAACATACGAATTTTGGAGGGACGTGATTCAGTTGATAATACCAAGTGATCTCCAGGATATGCTACTAAGTGAAAGAAAGCAAAATGTAGAGCAATGTTTATCATATGATGCATTTGGAGTAAGTATAGAAAAGTGGAAATATTATACACACACACACAAAGGTATTTGCTCTTGTTTTAACAAAGACACAATGGAAGCATAAACTAAAAACAAATAATTTTTAAAAAGGTTGCCGCTAGGGAAGAAAGGAAAGAAGGGAGACAGAACAGGATGGAAATGAGACTTTGTAAATGTAACTGTTGTATAATTTTCAATTTGAAATCATGCCAAGATTTCATATAATTTAAAATGATTAAATTAAGAGAACCAAAGAAATTTTTAAAACAAACCAAAACTAACTATATATTATATAGGTGATATAACCGTACAGAAAAAAACTTTTAACTACTACATAAAAATAGAATTATTACTAAATCCCCATAGCTTCACTACATTTTATAGTCTTGTCATTAATACTAACTTTGGTATTGTTATCTTGAAACTATTATACATTTTAAGATACAGTAAGATATTACGTTAATACTACTAGGAACCAGTATTTTCAGCATAATGGAAAAGGGACAAAAGCACAAAATAAATAATTAAAGAAAAACTCTTTCTTAATGTAAATTTAAAGTGTTAATATGAACTCACATTGTTTTATTTTTAAACAATGTGTATTTTATAACTCTGTCTCCTGGAAAATCTAGACTCTGTGTAACCCAGGAGAAAAGAGCACCTATAGCAATGAGTCTGTGGTATCTAAATATCATTCCTCAAGAGAGAAGCCATAGCACCTTGGAGAAGTGACCAAGGTCTAGGGCAGAAAATGCACAGGATGATTGTGAGACAACTTTTGTGTGGTATAGTGAGAAAACTATCAATGGGATATGTTAGAAGGACACAGGACATATCTGAGGAGTTGGCTTCAGGTGAGATAACCTGAAAATACTACTGTAAGAATAATATATAATAATATTATATTAATTAATATATAATACAAATAATATACTATATTAACATATAGTATATTAATAATTGTAATAGTTGCAGTGTCTTAAAATACACTGAATATATATGAAGACATAAATTTGTAATGATACTTAAATAATTTTGGAGAACACTGGGACACCAATTCATTATTCTTAAAGTTGATAAAGGGAAAAATAGAGCCTTTATCCTGCCTTCCCTCTACTAATTATATTTCCTTTTTTGTGTGTTTTTGTACCAATTGTATTTCAAAGTAACCAAATAAATAGTCATGAGGGAAAATTCTCTTTTATAGAAAAATCCTAAATGATTTGTACACAAGGAATAACAACTTTTTAAAAAATCCTTGTTTTGCAACCTCATTGAGATTTGCTAAAAGCTATAGGTGAAAACGGATGAAAGACTTGATAATGGAGGGCACAGCCCCATTTTGACACTACTAAGAGCATCAAGCATGTGACCCAGTCCAGGACACAGAGAACCACCTGTGTCTTGTTCCTGCCTGACTCTAAGCAAGAGCTAGCTCCCGGGTGACTGGGAACGTGAAGGACAGGGGAACAAATTAAACGATGCTGTGAAGAAGCAATCAGTCAAATAAAGACTGTGGCACATTCTACAAGATAAATTTTTCTTCAAAAATTATTAGTATGAAAAAAAAGTTGGGGAGGAAGCAGCTATAAAGAGTCATCAACTAAATGTGTTCATCTGGGTTGAATCCTGATTAGACTGAAGCAACTCTAAAACAATGCCTTGAAGACATTCAGAAAATTTGAATGTGGATTTTTGTTAGGATTAAAGAATTATTATAAAATGTGTTATGTGTTAAATGTCATAGTGGTATACTTTTAAAATGTCATCAGTTAGAGATGTGTTCCAAAATACATCTAAGGGAAATGACATGATGTCTGAGATATCTCTTAAAATATTAAAAAAAAAAAAGTTTCTGGATGGGGGCTGAGCTGTGGGACTGGAGACAGACAACACAGGAATGGCAAAATATTAATTATTGTTAAAGTTAGTGATGGTATATGAGATTTCATTATATCATCCTCTCCAATTTTGTAAATGTTTGAAACTTTGACATGAAAATTTTAAAACATAAGATGGCAAATATTTTGGAATCTTGAGGACCACCTTCAGATTATTAAAACTAATGTAGTTAGTTATCATCTAAAGGTTTTTAGGTGGGCAAATAATCTATTTAGTTGGATATAGATATAGGGAGAAATTTTATTTAAGGCATCAAATAATCCAAATTGATCATTAGATATAGTTATCTAAGTGATCTTCTTGCTCACAGGATTTTATGCAAAATAGGGTCGTTTACTTCTTTCTTGAATCTGGAATCCTTCTGGTACAGAGAGGACAGACCCTTGCAAATGATTCCCTTTGTAAATGTACATTTTCCTTACAAAAGGGAAACTTGAGCTCTGTCTTCAGAGCTTCTCCTATGTCTTCTGTTTCTCAAAATAATCAGCTCAAAATAATCTTTATACCAGAGGCGTATTTTGGGGTGGCATATTCTGGTCTCCTACAGATGCCCTGTTATCTCCAATGCAGGAATTTTGGGAATGAATGTGGTTCTTGATAATCAATCATTCATTATAGACTAGCCAAAACGATATGCATATGTGTTTAGTAGCAATTATCTGTTTTTCTTACAGCAGGAATCCCAGCTCCCGTATATTTTGGAGTTTTGATTGATACTTCATGCCTCAAATGGGGATTTAAAAGATGTGGAAGTAGAGGATCCTGCAGATTATATGATTCAAATGCTTTTAGGTACTGTATCAAACTTGTTCCCACATCTCACTGTGACAACATTCCAGGTTTGCACAATGCAACTGGCACTAAAACTCCTAGTGGAGTTTCATTGCTTGTAAGCAAAAGGATAGTCTAATAAAGAAGTGTGTTCTGTTTTATAGAGTAATTCTATTATTATTTACTTGGCAAGATTTTTCATTTTTTTCCCTCCATTTCTTAATCTTGACTCCCATTTTAAATGAATAATCATTTGAAAAATATATGACACAAGATTTCAGAATACAGTAGAATTTTGAAAGTTTATGCACTCAAGTGAGTAATTCCGTGAAACTCAGAAGCATTTAAATTTAGGTCACATTTGGGGTTTAATTCTATTCTTTTTCAAACTGAGCCAAACTGTCCCATTTACGTCAGATATAATCCCCCTGGGCAAGAGTTGGATTTGGCTCTAAATCTGTCCGGCTTTTCTTGCCAAACTGATGTTCAATTATTCCAGTACTTGAAATGCATAAAAGTAAAAGGTTTTCTCTGTGTGTGTGAGTGTGTATGGGGTTGAGGGGCATGGTTTTTCACTGTGGTATCATTCAGTTCAATTCATCAAACATTTAGTCCCCTTATTGCTTAAAGCAATGCTTCAATGGCTTAAAAGCAAGGAGGATTTTTTTTTAATGTACAAGCTGAGTACTCCCTAGAGAAATAAGCTTGGTGCTGAACCGTATAAGCTGGAAGCTGGATGTGAACTGAGCCGACCATCTCAGATAAGTTCGTTTGATTTAACAGGCTTTGATGTTATGTGAGAAATTTATTTTGGTCTTTGAAAGGGACCTGAACTATGAGAAAAATTTACACTTTATTCACATTTACTAAGGCTTTATTTACTTTAATGTAAAGACAGTGTAACTCAATGAGAGACTATGAGTGTTTGAGTACAAGGTAACCAGCATGAATCATTCAATGTGTCCTTTCAAACTTTCGTGTTTTATGAGAGAATGTAGAACTAAAGTCTTCCCATGGAAGAAACTGATTCAAACCTCTGGTTTGTTCTTAAGTCTACTCTACAGAGAGTTCTGACTTCCCCTTAACATTGCTTCTTGCAGTGAATTTGGGCAAGTTTCGAGGGTAGGGTAACCACATAATTTATCATTCAAATCTGGATACTTCTGAGAGTGAAAGGGGGCACTATTAAAAATTACACTGGGACAACACTAGCATAAGCTGAGACTGTTCTGGGCAAACAGAGATATAGTCACTTGGTCTAGGGAATAATTTACAGAGAGGATGGAACTGATTATATAATTAGCAGTAATTGAAAATGGTGGGACTACTAAAAAATTGCTTTATATTAGCTCACTGCCTTCAATAGTCTATCGAATGTTCACAGAAAGGCCTTTTCTAGCCACTGAATCTAAAACCATTCTCATGATGATTTTATTGATATTGATTGATTTCACTGACATTGATATTTATTGAGTGGTATGACTTTACTGTTACATTTTATTTAAAGTTGGACAGTCACAGTAACTAAGACTGAAATTCTCTCTTCTAGGCACATGTATCTGGGACTAACCACGATGCTTGGCACAATGTCCATTTTCCTAAGCACTGCAGTACTTTTCACTTTAAAGAAAAATTATATCTCAAAACATAGAAGCTTCAGAACCAAGAGAGAAAGAACAACGGGGTCTACAAGAATCAGGAAGGAAAATTTTACTACAAGTGATCACTTGCTGCAACCCAGCTACTGGCCAGGCAAGGAAACGCAGCTTTAGAAAAATGATGACTTCAAGCCATGTTTTCTAATTTCTGGAAATTCTGCAAACAAATTTTTAATGAAAAGGTATAAATCCTTTCTCCTTTCAAAAAATGTCTAATACCTAGGATCAAAAACAAAGTAAAGTACCTGATAAAAAATACAATTAATTACATTATAGAAGATGTAGAGGGTAAAGTTATAAATAAATTCCTTACATTATTTACTCATTCTGCTTAATTTTGCTGGCACCCATTGATATATTAGCTGTATTCCAAGTAGAACAACTTGTCCCTCTAGTTTAATGACTATGTGTAAAGTAATTACTAAACTGAGATACTTGTCCAGGGTAAGAGAATATGTGAAAAAAAAAGTTAAACCATGTCTTAGCCTCCTTCAAATATCACCTTAATGGAGGAATATTTTATCTTAAGCTCCTCTTTTGTTTTGAAATACAGTAATTGATACAGAAATGCATAGAGGCAAATGATCTTGGGGGATTTGAATTTTGGATAATTAGCTCTTCTCCAGTTCATTACATGTACTTTATGTGTGAGAGTTTAAGTGACCATAGTTGGAAAATAATAAAATTAATATTAACATGATTTATTGTCCTTCTGTGAGTTCCACAGAGTAAAAAAAAATTGATAAATACAATACTGCATATCTTAATGTATGTAAGAAACTCCAGTCTTATGCATATGACATGGTCCTAGAGCATCTTTGAAAGCTGAGTTTCTGAAAGTCTACAATAAGCTTAGATGTTATAACAGGAATGCAGAGTGACAGGCTGAGTGATGGTGTGGTCGCTTTTGGTGCTCTACCTGGCACCTGTCATGGGGCCTGCGGGGGCTGCCACTGGGACAGCCTGCCAGACAGTTCTCTGTTTCTCTGCAACTTGAAGAAATCAAGGCATTTCCTCTTCCCTGGCTTCCTGGTCCTGTTCTGACTAGAACTAGTGGGTTCTGCAGTCCGTCATCGTGAACCTTCAGCTCTGTTAGGTTCTGGGTTTTTCTTCCTCCACCACAGCTACATCCTTAAGAGGGGCCTGGCCCTTGCAAGAAAAGCAGACTTAGGTAGAGTCCCCCTCAGTGGAGTCCTAGAATTAGACCACAATTCTTGGCAGCTTATAGAACAAACAAACAGGGCACTCCCTACAAGGAGTCTTTCTGAGATATTTCTTGGGAGCCTACGTCCAACAAGAAGGTCCAGCTCAAAAATGCAAATTTACTCACACAGTGGAAGGATCAAATAGCACACACAAAAGGGTTTACAGTCTAAACATTTTTTTCCTTATATACCAGTACTGAGAATATGAATTAAAAAAAAAAAAAGAAAAAAAATCTGGAGATGGAAAGGCTGGTGATGGAGGGCAGAGAAAATTTCCTTTAAATATGTATTAGTTTTGTCATTTGATTTGAATTGGTGATGCAAGATTATTTTATATTTTACTATTTTTTAAAAAATTAAAATAGACTCATTTTGTTTCTAGCAGGTCTACTTCAGACCTGCTGCTGCTGTGCTAATTTGTGGGCAGAAATCCTTTTTTGTCATCTCAGTATCAGCCCTGCCCATAACAAATATTTACTGAATGGTTGAGTGAGTACGCTAGTCAAGAGTTTCCTTTGTGGAGATGTAATTAAAATTCAAGTTCCTCATCCTGTCTCCCACATCCTCTTTATTTTTTCAAAGCTTTTTGCAGCAACATCCTGAAAAATAACTTCTTTGCAAGTAAATTTCTAAACAGACTCCTATCCAATGTACTCTTGAATAACTTGAAAAATAAAACTTGGCATAAAGGATATTTAAGTGATTTTTTTTTCATAAAAGCACTGACTGTCAATGAAAAGGAAGCATATTTTTAGGCATAATCTTTAATCAACAATGGAATTATATATACTAAATTCAGTTGTATGGCATATGAGAGTATCATTTAGTGGCAAATTGAATTTACTAAAAGGAACCTCGATATTTTAGATGAGTAAATTCATTTGACAGAAGTAAGCAGGCTTTTTATGCCTCAGAAAGCACATGATTAATTTTTTTTATGACAAGTCAAACCCCATTTCAGAGGTCAAAAATTCCCTCAACCACAGAGCCAAACATCAGAGGTAAGGTCTTGACAGATGTGTGGGACCCACGATTGCTGCACACTCAATGGGCCACTTTATTTGCTTATTATACAGTCATGAGCCCAAGGGGTGACCAGCACCTTGAATGAACATCTGATTCACTATAACCTTCAGACAGATAGCGTTTCAGCAATATGAGTGTATAAATGGAGTGACTTAAATTGAATGACTTGGCCCAAGGCGGAGGTAGTTCAAACTAATGCTGGGTTCTGCCATTGCATCATGATGCCTCTCAAGTAGATAATAAAAACAAACAATCTGAAACCTCTAAAAACAGCTGGGAGGACTTTTGTGACCAGGAGCATTTAAGAAATCTCCACTTACTATAAATGCATACACTCAGACATAAAAGGAAATTGAAAGAACACGTTGACTGTAACATATATTTGAGAATAATTTTTATAATTGTTGTAACAACTATTACGTACAATTAATATTAAGCACTCTCTTTATTTGTGCTAAGTGCTTTAGACACATTGTCTCAATTTCAAAGATCAAAATAACCTTATGTATCAGGTGTAAGTACTGATACTTAGAGGAAGAAACTGAAGCTTAGAGAGTTTTAGTGACTCTTCCAAAGCCACTAAATTACAGTATTTGGTAAAGCCAAGACTTCAGCTGAGGCTTATCACAAACAGCCATGTTATGCTTGTATTAATCTATATCTTAAATTGTTGTCTTCTCCTAAGTTTGCTGAAAGTCAATTTTGTACATAGACATTAGAAAGGTTTTAACATACTAAAGCATGCACATGGTTAAAAATAAATCAAATGGTACAAAGTGATTTAAAGTGAGAAGTAACAGTCTTCCACACCACCTTCCCTTCTGTTCTTTAAAGGGAATTACTTCTAACCAGTTTGGTTGGTTGGTTTTTCTGATGGTCATTTCCATTATCATTACATACTATGCACATACCATTTTCCTGATTTACTAACATGGGTAAAGTTAATTGACTCTCTATTCTGATAGGTTAAACTAATGTCACTTACTCACCCCCTGTTGTTCTTCCCTGGTAATCTGTACATAGTGAAGTCACTGTTTTGAGTTCCTCAAATGTCACATCAGTACCTCCATTTCTTGTTCAATAAACATTAACAATATCATATGTTCTCCACTTTGCAAAATGAAGATCTTAGGGCTCCCCTCCCGTCTATGTCTCCAAACTCTCATTCATCTCCCTTTCTTAGCTGTGCCTTTACTTTTACACTGTTAAGAATGATGACAATTTTAGTCAACTCTACAGCCATTCAATCTAGGGAAGGCCAGAGTGGTTATGATCAAGATTGATGCCACCTACTGTTGAAGTCATGAAATGTCACTGCTAGAAAAAATGAAGAGGGAAAAACGTATCTAATGAGGACCTACTGTGAACCAGGCATTGCAGGCACATTAATATATTTAAATGTTAATAAGTGTGATATAAAGAATTATTTTATGTTTGAATAATTTTGGACTATGCTGAGTTAATGACAGCTCCCATCTGACTGCAGAATCTCTCAGATGCTTTAATTTGATGACGTACATTGCCAATCTCCTAAAGGGAGTGTGTATCACAAACTTATTTGGCATCAGATCCACTGTTTTATTAACAGGTCTTCAACCTAATTAATTTTCAATACAGTGTATTTGGAAAACACAATTTTGTCCTCTTTTTAAAATTTTTTGCTGTCTTACTTAGCTTCTAGTCAAGAAAACGATTTCATTTTTAAATGTCTGGATAAGATTTTATAGCACAGGAATTATCAGCTCCTTTTACACTGAAGGAATGTTTTTAGCCTTTTTGAGAAATAATATCTTGAAAAGTTATTGATTATTGTAGCTTTAAAAAAAATCTGCTTGCTGATTCAACTGTCAACATTTATATATTTTCTAGAAAAATCTAGACTTTTAAAAGATATTTTTAATACTATAAACTTAGATGAGCTAAGATAATTATTACAATCTTTTCTCATTTTTAATTTTGTGTATTTGGGTTTGCTTTTTTTGCATATTATGCTTGTCAGGAACTTACTTCATTGGACTTTTCAGAGAAATGCCACTTGGAATCTGTTTCCCTGCTACCTAATGATTAATCTTCGTGTTTTACTTTAATTACTTCTTCCTTCTGCTTTCTTTAGGTATGCTTTAAAAAAAATCTTTACCTAAATTCTTGATTTGTAGGCTGATAACGTGTATGCTCTAGCTTAGTAATGAAAACTTTAACATGACTTAATGTACAGCTTTGTTCATAATACATAAGTTTTGCCATGCTGTAGTATCAGTGCTATTTTCTTAGCTGTTTACAAATACATTCCTTGATTTTCTGTTTAAGTCAAAATTTCTGTTTACTCTAAAAGGAGAATAATTAAAAATTTCCCACTGTTTGGATATTTCAGTTTAAATGTCTTTTAATTTTTAGATTAATTGTATTTATAATTAGGGAGCACAACCTATTCAATTTATCCTTTTGGAAATTCGAGGGTTTAAGCCAAAGAAATCATCAATTTGCGAAAATGTTTGGATTTTGAAAATAAATTCATTGATTATAGAGGATAATACCAGATATATATTTACCAAATCAAACCAATTAATTGTATCATTCACATCTTCTGATACTTCTTTCGTTTTCTTTCAAAGCTTGAGAGCAACAGTATGTCAAAATCTCCCAATTATAATTGAATGAGTTTTTGCGAATTGCCTCCACCTTTAAAATGTTTTTATTTGTAGAATTGAATGTCGTGTTTCATTAACTATTATATCCTTATAATGTATACATTTGATTTTTAAAACTTTATTATTGTACTATTTAAAAATTTTTCATTGAATTTTATTTGAAGTAAATTAATTTTCTTTATCAGTATTGCCATTTCTGCTCCCTTTATTGATTGTGTTTACTTGATATGTCTTTGGTTCTGCCTTTATTTTTAAAAATTTCCTGTGTTCTGTTTAAGGTTAGATATTTGTTAACAGTACAGACCTGGATTTTATTTTTACTTTATCTAAAATTCTGTCTATTAATAAGGTATTTAATGATCACACATGATGTTTGGTTTTATTTTTGTAATACTGTTTTATTAAACTTTTCCCCTTATGTTTTCTTTTCATTCTTCCATATGCTATATGTACTATACTTTTGCTTTTATTTCTTAGCAATATAGAAGTTACAGCCACTTTTTTGGCAACCTGAAAAATATTCTGCAATTGGTTACCCCAAAATTATAAAAATATATATTCATATTATTTTCCTCTTAAAAATTCCAAGAATCAGATAATAAATACTGTCTATTAACTCTCTCTGTGTAAGAGTAAGCTCCTTGACATCAGTCTTGGCATGGTTTTTTAGATTTGCCCCAAAAGCAAAAGCAACATAGCCAAAGTAAATTAGTGGGACTGCATCAAACTAAAAAGCTTCGGTACAGCAAAGGTAACCCTCAACAGAACAAAAAGGCAACCTATGGAAGGGAAGAAAATTTTTGCAAATCACGTAAGTGGTGAATATCTAAAATATATAAAGAACTCATACAACTCAATAACAAAAAAAAAAATCAGATTCAAAAATGGGCATAGGATCAGTACAGACACTTTCCAAAGAAGATATACAAATGGCTAACAGATACATGAAAAGATGCTTAACATCACTAACCATCAGGGAAATGCAAATTAAAACCACAATGACATACTACTTCATACCTATTAGAATGTTTATGGCCAAAAAGACAAGACATAATAAGTATTGGAGGGGATGTGGAGAAAAGAGAACCACTGTGGTGGGAATGTAAATTGATACAGCCACTATGGAAAACAGTATGGAGGTTCCTCAAAAAATTAAAAATAGAACGACCGTATGATCCAGCAAATTCACTTCTGGATATGTATCCAAAGGAAGTGAAAACAAGTTCTCAAAGAGATATCTGCACTCCATATTCATTGCAGCATTATTCACAACAGACAAGATATGAAAACAACTTAAGTGCCTGTCAACAGATGAATGAATACATATACATATCTATAATGGAATACTATTCAGCCATTAAAAAGAGAATCCTGTCATTTGTAACAAATGGATGGACCTTGAGGGCAATATGCTAAGTGAAATAAACCAGACAGCAAAAGACAAGTACTGCATGGTATCACCTGTATGTGGAATCTTCCAAAAAAAAAAATCAAACTTGTAGAAATAGAGAGTAGAAAAGTGATTACCAGGGGCTGGATCATGGGGGAAGTAGGGGGACAGGTTGGTAAGAGTACAAACTTCCAGCTACAAGATGAATAAAGTTTAAGGAGCTAATGTATAACATGGTGACTATAGTTGATAACACTGTATTATATTAACTGAAATTTGCTAAGAGAAGAACTTAAATGTTCTCAATAACAACAACAAAAAGATAAATAGGTGAGGTGATGAATGCATTAATTAACTATTTTGAGGGAATTCTTTCATAATGTACTTAAGACAAGTTATTAATATTTTTACTTTATAAATCTTCTTCTGGCTAAATAAACAAATCTACAAGCAACATTTCATGCAGGCATCCTTTCCCTATCTCTATTTCTTTAAGATAGATTCCTAGAGATAGAATATTTCAAACATGTTGACCAATGGCGTTACAAACGGGAAAGGCAGTAGAGCCTAACATGAACATTTGGAAGATCAGCTTTTCTCAAACTTCACTAATTCATCAATTTTATGAATTAAAAAAAGGCCATTTCAATGTTCTGATTTTCATGCTTTTGCTAGCGAGTTAAAACTTTTACAAGTGTACTACTCATCTCTCTTCTTTTATAGATTGTGCTCATGGCCTTACTTACATATTTATATTTTGGTAGTTACCTTATTAATGATATTTACCATTAGTGTGTCCCATGTGTAATAATTATTTTTCTAAATTGGGGGCTGTATTAGTTTGCTAGAGGTGCCATAACAAAGTACCACACACTCAAACAACAGAAATTTATTTACTGACAGTCTGGAGGTTAGAGGTCCAAGGTCAAGGTCTGGCAGGCTTTAAGGGCTCTCTTCTTGGCTTGCCCAGATGGCTGCCTTCTCACTGTGTTCACATGGTCTTTTCTCTGTGTGTGCACAACCTTGTCTCTTTATCTGTCCTAATTTCTCCTTATAAGGACACCAGACTGACTGGGTTCATGCCCATTCTGATGGCTTCATTTTAACTTAATCACCTCTTTAAAAACCCTATCTCCAAAAACATTCTGAGGTACTGGGTGTTAGGGCTTTAACATATGAGTTTGGGGAGAAAACAATTAAACCCGTATTAGAGGGGTAAAATTAAATTTTGTTTAATGTGATTTTTTATTTAAAGATTTTTTAAAATTTATACAATCAAATATCTCCCTTCTCTATAGAGTCTACATTTGCTTCTGACCATTGGACTATAAATCAAAGATCACCACAAGCACCCTTACAGGTTCAATACAGGCAAACCCGGGAGACAGTTTGATTCCGATTCCAGACCACCACAATAAAGCAAATACAGTCTATTTAGTATGCAACAGCATTATGTTGAAAAATACATGTATACTCTAAAAAATACTTTACATTGCTAAGAAATATGCTAACCAAACCTGAGCCTTCAGCAGGTCATATGTAGGTAGTAACATGAAAGATCACTGATGATCAAAACAGTAAAAAAGTTTGAAATATTTTGAGAATCACCAAAATGTGACACACAGACACAAAATGAGCCAATGCCCTTGGAAAAACAGCCAAAAGACTTGCTTGACACAGGGTTGCCACAAAACGTCAGCTTGTAAAAAACACAATTATCTGAGAAATGCAATAAAACAAGGCATGCCCCAGACAGTTCACAGAACTCAGGAAGATGTTACTGAACGCAAGTTCATGTGCTGGACTCACCGTGAGGCCAAACTGAAACATTGGAGTTTGGAGCAGAGAAAGGTTTATTGCAGGGCGAGCAAGGAAGACAGAGTGGCTCATGCTCAGAAAAACCCCTGAAGGTTTTCAGCTGAGCGTTTTTAAAGGTCAGCTGAGGGAGGGGCGCCCCAGGGTATGTGATCAGCTGTGCACAATTCTCTGGTTGATGGTGACCATTCCTTGGGTGCCAGAAGGTCTGGGGGCCATGTGCTCAAGATCATCAAGTAGTTAATTTCTTCCATTTGGTGGTAGGTTTTAGCATTTGAAAAACTCGGAAAACATGCCTGAGATACCACTATCTGGGTACTTCAGAGAGGAGCTATAGCAGTGGATATAGGGGAGGGGTCTACCCAGGAAAGGCCTCCTGTTCCATTACAAAGACTTGATAAACTACTGAGAGGATCCAACTCAGGAACAGCCAGATAGAAGAGGTGCGCAGGACAAAGTATGTGGGAAGGGGCAGGAAGTTTTCATGTCCTTTCCAGGTACATCACCCTTCTGGCTCTTCCAAATGTTGACCAACCTGGAAGTTCTCTGAAACCATGCATCCTTGTGGGGTTTTTTAAAATGATGGTTATTAAATAAGCATGGTTAAGTTATTGGCCATAAGCGATTAACTCAGTCTCCAGCCTCTCTCCCCTCCCTGGAGGTGGTCGGGCGGTGGGGTGGAGGTGGAGTTGAAAGTTTCAGCTTTTCAAGTAGTTGGTTTCCCTGGCAACCAGCCCCTCAGCCTTAGGGACTTTGCTAAAATTACCTCATTAACATAAACTCAGGTGGTTGAAAGGGGTTTGTTATGAGTAACAAAAGATGCTTCTTTCACCTTTATCACTTTTATCACTTAGGAAATTCCAATGGTTTTAGGAGCTTTAATCATAAATCACAATATCACATAATCTCCTAGCACAAACCTTAGAAACCGGTATTTTTATAATTCTGAATCTTTCCATCAAGAATATGGTTTGTGTTTCTCAGTAAAATTTTATAGTTTTTTTGAAAAATACACATACCAAATATTTCTAAGATTACTTAGTCTTCAACATTTGTGTCATTAATATGATTGGAATGTTTTCTATTTTATTTTCTAAAAGATTATTTAAGATCTTTTGTTTTATTTTATGTGTAACAGATTTAGCAAAGCTGTTAGTCACTTCATGTTTCTATCGTAACTGGGCTTCTTTACCAAAGTTCATCATTAATTTAGGTTGTTCAATTGATTCTCTAGGTGTTTCTTGGTGGGGGTAATCAGAGTCTGTGAAAGAATATTATTTTGACTCTTTTTCAAAGTTGATACTTCTTATGTCATTTTTTTCTTGTCTGATAGAAAATCTGGTGATGTTTATATATGCCATATATCTAAAATTGAAATCTGCTTGTGATATTGTTATTCAAAATCATCTAGCAGGCTTCCAGCATTTTCAGACAGCCTCAGACATCCTTGGTAAAGTCTGACCTTTCAAGATCTGGTCCCTGACAACCTCCTCATTCCATCTCCCAGATAACCCCTAATGCTAATTCTTTACTAGATCTTCTGGCCACATTGTACTGTAGTTTCCTAAATGTTCGGACCTGCTACTTTCTTTACCTAGAAAACACTTTCTCCGTTTTCCTTTTATTTTCACCCTTCCACCCAGCTCAGGGCTTCTCATATTTTACTCTGTGAATCACCTGGGGATCTTGTTTGAAATGCAGATGTGACTCAGTGGTTCTGGGGTGAGGACCTGAGAGTCTGCATTTCTAACTAGCTCCGCAGATCAGCAGCATCACATCCTTAGCAAGGACCTGGCTAACTCTTCCTCCTTCTCCTCCGTGACAATTTAGTTCAGTCACCTCGAGTCAGCTTCCCTGGACCACAGCCTCACAGCATCCCCAAAGTACCAGGTGGTGGCCCAGTACAGACTGATGGTAGACACTCTTATCAGTCTACACTATCTTGTACGTTACCAGAGACACGCTACAAGCTGAATACTGAATAAATGAACAAACAAATGATATAGGAAAAATAAGCTCCATTTAGGGATTGATAACAGGATTAATAAAATCACACCTTTGGCAGAACAGAATAGAATAATGTTGTGAACAAAAATACTGCAACCATATCAGTAAACAAAGAATGCTGAAACCAAGTCATCAGCGGCTGCTGCCACCCCCCAGTGAGGACAGGCCTGCAGCCCGGCCTCTGCAGCCACTCATAATGGTGCCCTCTGAGCAGACTCAGAATAATAAAGGACAAAATAACGGCCCTTGATAGCTAGGTGCTTGTCAAAGGAATGAATTCAATGAGCCCAAAGGTTTTCTTCCTCCCATACATAGAAAAGCGCTGAATTCTTTAACTTGAGATGCCCGGTTTTCTTTACATAACAAGTAATCTTTTATTGTTCCAACTACCTGGTCTTTGATGTAAAGCTCCTATATATCCTGGCTCCTCCCCTACCTCTTCGGAGCAGCCCCTCAGAGCCATCTCAAGGGCTATCATCCCGGCTCCAGTCCTCCCGCCAAATAAAACATAACTCTCAACTTTTAGGCCGCGCATTTATTTCAGTCGACACGTGTTGATAGAAATAGGTTATGTGCTCCAAAGGTATTCTGGGTCTTTGAAATTGTGAACATACTAAAACTAAATAAATAAATATGAAAAGCATTGTTTTCTATTACTTGACCAGCTAGATATTTGATGGACTCTATAAACCATTTTTTTCCAAAAAGAGTCAATTTCAATTTAGATATGCATTTTATCTTATAGCATTTCTATATCATTCTTTAATTTTGCCTATTTCTTTAAAATCTATAAAGCATTATAGCACTTTTTTTCCTCTTAATTCCATGTAAAGACTGACTCTATTTCTTCCCGTTAGAGATGAAAAACCTGAGACTAGAAGAGGCTTAGAGAAGTTAACCGTGCTTGTCGAGATTACAGAATCAGGTGTTGGCAGAGCAGACGCTTAACCCCACATCTTCTGATGCCTCCAGTGTTCTAGATACTTACCACACCTGCTTGAAACTTTTTCAAAGCCCCAAACTAGCAGAGACAGTGATATGATACCGTACCCATGATATTCAGTTTTGGTTGTGATGTAATCAGATTTCACCTCTAGTCTGCAATTTTTTCCCCTATATTGAAATAACAAACTTAGTTTCCCTCTCCTGTTGTTTTCTTTTCTCTTTTTTCTTCTTCTAAGCTAGAGCTTAGCTTTGTGGGCTGGCTAAAATAGTTGATTTGTGGCAGAAAAAAAAATGTGGTAGTTCATACCCTACAAAGAACCCCGTAACAGCAGCGGGGCTGACGAATGAACACCGAGCACCTATCACCGCGGTAAGCAGGGTTTCAGCACTGGAGGGCGTCACAGAGGTTGCCCATGAACAGACAGGGGGTCAAGGCCACAGAAGCGAAAGGTCTCATAGTCCAAAAACATCCAGTTACTTACGGTCTGTGCTGAGCTGGCTGCCTGGGTGCCCTGACGTCCGCCCTGTGATCTCTCACCCACACTGGCCACGGATCAACCTGAGCTGAAAAATCAAAGGCTTTGAATTTCAAGGTGGACTAACCTGGGATAAAAACTGGTCTGAGAAACTCCGATAACTTTGTAAATAAAGCAGTCACGCTGATACGGCATGTAACTGTTGGTTGTATATATTTAGCGTTACCATGGTCTTACGTAAGCTAAGCACCGCTGCCTCTCAAATCTTATTTTCTCTTACTCTCCCCACACTCATTGCTCCACTTGGGTCCCCTCTCTGTTCCCCCAATACAACAAGCAGCCCCTAAATCTGGGTCTTCATACCTCCTGGGTCCCCTGCCTGCAACAGTTTGCCCCCTAGGACTTGATCTTTGTTCCCACATCAGCCTTCTGGAGACCCTCCCTAACCACCCTCTCTAAACCAGCATGTGCTGGCCCCCTCCATCCCATTAACCTCAGTTGTCTCTCTTTATAGCAGTTTTCACTCCTTAATGTAGGTCTTCTTGCTAATTTAATTTCTTGTCTGCAAGCTCCACAGAATAGTTGTTATTTTCCACTGTAATGAACTTGGAACAGGGTAAGCGCCCAATGACTGAATGAATAAAACATCCCAGACTTGAAAGTGGTAGAAGGAAGACTGAGTAAAACCTCAGAGGTGTAGAAGTCTTCTCCACTAAGGAAGAGAATCAATTTACCCCTAAAAAAATGTGTAAATAGGTATCACATACTGGACACTACTCAAACTTTTGCAGGAGTTACTCCTTACAGAAAAGCTTTATTAAGGTATTATTTACAACCAATTGGACGTCACTACTGAGGTGACTAGGCACATCCACACATAAGATCCTTTAATAAATGGCATTTTCTAACATTCCGCCTCCAACATCAGTACAACTCAATCTTAGGTTACACCGTGCTTTAGGCCAGGTCTGGCTTGGATTAAATCCATATTTGAAAAATCCAAGCATTGATTGATTTCATGCCTAAGGCCAGTGTGATTGGAACATACTCCATGCTTCATAAGCAGAATCCAAAGTTGCGAAAGATTCCAATTCCAAGACAGAAAAGTATTCAGGAGGCTAACAAGTGCATCTGTTTTTGCCTTATTCAGAAACGCATGTTTAAAAACAAAACAAAGCAGAACCCTGGCCATTTTGAAAGCATATAGCTTATGGCAATCCTGAAATGGAGCCTTTGCCATCCTAAATGTGGGCTGGGATGGCCGGGGAGTTGGCAAAGTGCCATATCTGCACTTAGACATCAGTCACCCACCCGCCTCCCCATTGCACTGAACCTCAGGAATCCAGGCACCCACACCACTGAGGCTCCCAAAACATTCTACAGTCCCCAGGGATTTCCCAGACAGCCAGGGACACTGCAACTAACGTGTCCCTGTACCTGCTTTCTTCCTCTTTCCCGCTATTTCCAGACTTCCGGTTCCTCTACCTCGTAGATGGCTCAAGAAACTGACTCTGTACCTAAGAAACTTAGGAAAGCTCTGGGTCTGAAATGAAGCACTGCTCCAATTTTCACCTTCTCTCCTGCATCACATTCCCACTAGATGGTGAATTCCTTTCTCTCTAGCTATTAAATGTTTAAAAAGGAAAAAGGTAAGAGAAAGTAAAACAATCCTCTCTTAATTCTACGGCTCCCTCTAGTTACCACTTTATTCCTCTTCTCTTATTGTAACTAGGTTTCCAAAAATTTTTCTGTAGCTTAAGTATGACTGAAACATTATGCTGTGGACCAGAAATTGACACAACATTGTAAATGGACTATACTTCAACTAAAATTTTGTTTTAAGTTTTTAATAATTAGTAGTGTATATGAATCACTACGTAGAGGCATTGTGCTTACCAACTGGTACAACTGAGATGTGTGAATGTTTCTTATCCCCGTGTTCCAATGGGGAGGACACTGAGGCTTAGAGCAGTTCATTAGTTTCCACAGAGTCACACAGAGAGTACACAGCAGACCTGGGGTGCAAATCCACAGTCTTGCTACCATGCGCTGAGATGGCCAAGACACACCGTCTGCCCAAGCTCAACACACTATAATCCAATGTCCAGATAACAAAGTTTCCAGCTCAAACCAGGACTGTTGGCCGCTTTTTCAGTCCTTCTTCAGCACCAGGAGCCTTCAGCTCTCTTTGCCTGCCGACCCCCGCTCTCCAGGCCGCCCTGCTGCATTCTCTCTTGGACCCCGTCCTATTTCTCTGACCGCTTCCTCTCGGCTTCTCCTTCATAGCCATGTCTTCTGAATTTACATCCTTTTTAATATTCATACTTGCACCCTCCCCTACGTGATTTCTTTTGCATTCGAAGATTTTTCTCTACCATGTCTCCTAAAAGTGGACACCTCTAATTGAGAGCTATCTATTGGACACAGTCTTACTTAATCACAGATACCTCAACCTCGATTTACCTGTGAGGAGACCACCCTGATGTTGCTCTGTGAACATGCAGCTTTTGCAAGCGTGAGAAGACCTGTAAGGAGGAGACTCCCACACTGAATACAGGGGATCATGGAAGGAGAGGGTAGGCTCTAATGCTGGAAAAGAGGGAGTCCTGAGATGGAAAGTCTGAGAGTGGGACGTAGGTCAGTGAGAGAGAAGGCTCAGGCTCCACTCTGAGTCTAGTCACCAAATAACTGGTATTACAGGTTTGTACTCATTACAGGTTCTAATATGGAACCCACCATAGAGAGGAAGACCAATAGCTAGAAAAGGATAAAGTTCTCAAAGGCAGGGGTTAACAAAGCCTCTACATGAGGGGCAGACAGCATACATTCAAGGTAGACCATGTGATCTCTGCCACTGCCACTTAACTCTGTCATAGTAGCGTGCCTGCAGCCCAAGATAATGTGTAAGTGAACAATCATCTCTGTGTCCAGTAAAACTTTTTTTTTCCCCGAAAACCATTGAGGGGCTACTGTTGGTCTTCAGTCCATAGTTTGCTGACTATTGATCTAGAGACAGAAAGTAAAGATCCGTAAGTTGTCACCATAAAACCACTGCCAGCTCCTGCTTTTCTTTCATCCCCTAGCATTTAGTTTGAACATTTTACTGATTCCTCAGCTGTACTCAAAGAAGTTTAAGGACTGGTAGTTTGTCTACGCGTGAGCAGGGCTTTCACTGCGGGAGCAGCACACCCCAAGGTCAGGCATTTTATCTACAACCAGTCTGTGAGCCTCTCGAGGACGTGAGCATAGCTTATTCGTTAGTGTCGACGCCCAGCACTGAGCACCTTGCTTAGCATATTAACGCTGCTCGACAAATTTGTGTCAGCTGAACGAGCTGAGTCTTCAGCACTGGTAGGTTGTACTCAGTCTCCAGTTTTCAACTATTTCCCCTAATCCCAAGACTGATGCAAATGTTCCCAATGTACGTAGAGATGACACAAATCAACAGAGGCCAGCTCAAGCCCATACTTCCTGACATATGGAAATAAAGGCGACTTTCCCAGCCTTTAAGTCACTCATGTATTTGTAATAGTGTTCCAAAATTTAGCTTTGTGTTGAAGGACTCTACACTAGATGAGGCTGACCTGGCTGGGACACCAGTATTAGACCCTTTCTCTGACATAGTCTATCCCAGTGGCCGCATCTTTCCTCTTAGGACAGACAGTGTTGGCCTTGACTCCATGTTCTACTGGTTATGTTCAACCATGGAGTCCAGCAGAGGAAGAGAGATGAGGGCTAAAGAAGGCAGTTACCATTTGTGTTGTCTTCTTATTGCTACAATGCAAAGTATCACAGATTTAGCGGCCTGACACAGCACATATTCTTACAACACTGGGATCACAGGTCTGAAATCAGCTTCACTGGGCAGATGTCAAGGTGTCAGTGTGGCTGGTTTCTTCTGGAATCTCTGAGGGGAGAGACTGTTCCCTTGCTTTTTCAATTCTAGTGACCTCTTTCATTCCTTGGCTTGTGGCCTCTTTCCTCCGTGTTCAAAGCCTAGAACTCCAATCTCTGTTTCTGTCATAACGTCACTGTCTCCAACTGTAGTCAGATCTCCCTGTAGTCAAACCTGCCTCTTAAATGACAATTTAGGGCCCATCCAGATTACTCAGGCTACTCTGCGTGTGTTAAGATCCTCAACCTAATTGCATTTGTGAAGCCCCTTTTGCCATGTAAGTTAACATTCACAGGTTGCAGGGATTAGGATGCAGATATCTTTCAGGGCCATTATTCAGCCTCCCACATCATCATTTTCCACTGCCCTTCAACTTCCTTTTATACATTACATGCATTTTACAGGGGACACTGCTGAGATACCAGATCCTGAGAAGAGACACCATTCAAACGTTAATGGGTTAAATAGTGACCATTCACCATTTTATTAACAGATATTTAACAGGTATCCAGCAGGAATCTGGAACTGTTAGCCCTTGAAACAAACATCGTAGACATCCCCCTGCTCTCATGGCGCTCGGTGGTCACGACGTCGTTACTAAATCACGCCTGCCCTCCCACTTACTTCCTTCTCTGTGGATTTGCCCTTCCTAGTCCAGCCCTGCCTTCCTGACCCTAAGCCGAGTAACACCATCTTTCCGGGAGGATGGAACAAGAACAGAATTCACTTCCCATGTAACATGACTGAGTTATTAGCATTAAAAACCTACTTAGATGATGTTTCACTCTTCAGTTATGTTTACTTCTCCTAACCTGAAGTGGCATGGAAAAATATTGCAGTATCCCAGGCATGGGTTAAACCTGCAAAGGCTCCTAATCTCCTCTGAATAGGGATTAGCGACTGCATAAATATAGCCCAAGAAAGAGCTGATTCCTGGAGAATGAAAGCTGCTTTCACCGCAAAGTGCTAAGTGACGACTCGGATACGTGAACTGTTTAGTTTCCCTCTTTATAGATAGGGGTCTGCTTCCACCTACTGGCTGGAGAATTTCACAACCATCAGTACAACACAGGTAATTTCCACTTGGATCTTTGTATCTGTTTCTGATTTGTAGCCATAATGTCAGCTCCTGTCTACCAAGGACTTCTTGACTCCAGAACCTAGTCCCAGCTTCTGGAGTGACTGATTTGACGAGCCAGTGTGTTATGTTACGAAAATTGTTAGGCAGCTACGGA